AACTTTTAATATGTTTATGTCCTGCTGGCAAAGGAATAACCTGTGAGCTTGTGTTAGAATTTAAAGCTTCCCACTTATAACCACATGACTTTGGGGCAGTTTATTTATTTAAAAGCCTATTTCAAGGGGCAGGGATTTAGCTCTGTGACACTGCACCTGCCTAGCAAGTGCAAGGTCCCAAGTTCAATCTCCAGTACCTACCTCCCCCAAAAAAATAAAAATAAAAGCCTGTTTTATCTTCTTAAAAAATGAAGATTACAGTAATATGTTAGCTTATACTCCTGTTTCAACTAATTTAAATTCTACACTCTGAGTTTACTATATGTTTTAATTGCTTTTTAAATCTCGTTATCCATAAAACATTATTTTATGTGGTCTCCAAAACAGAAGGAAAAATATTAATTTATGGGGCCATGTATCTCAAAAATCACTTTTATTAGATGACTTCTAGGGAATACCATTCTTACAGTTTCATGGATTCTGCAGTCCAGCATCTCTGGTACTGAGGAGGACCTGAGACCATTAACGCCTCACTGTGCCATACAACAGATATTTTATGTGAGAATCTTGATGTTAAAAAAGGACTGAGAGGCTCTGGTTAAGAGGATTTCTGATTCCTTAGACTTTCCCTTTCTTTTTCATAGCTTGCGTTTGAGTCACTGGCTGTGATTGGAAATGCTCTAACCCTTCTGGAGGTGGGGCAGATTGCAGTATGCAGGTAGGATTGCCTTTTAATCTTACTGGGAAAACCCTTTTCACAGTTTGATCTCATGATTAAAAAATAACTTACACTGTATTTGTTTTTTCTCCAAGTTTTGGAGAGTCAGTGAAGCTGTTACACCCATTCTATGAACAGTTCAGTGATTATTCTGGGGCCCAGATTCTACGGCTCTGCAAATTCCAGCAAAAGAAAACCAAGATTGCTCAGGTATGCTGATGAAATCCAATGAATTTTTCAATACTTCTTCCTCTCACCCCCCCCATAGTATTCAGGACATAAAAAATATACATGAGTGGGTATACTGCTATAATGAAAGCTTCCTTGTCATCCTTTATAAACCAAGATGTGACTTGCTTTTTCTCAGGTCCTCAAAGATCATCTGACTTTGGCACCATTGATTTTCTGTCTTCTCATTTTTTCTGAGTGATTTGGAACATTTTACAACAAACTAATCTAGTATCCTACCAGGTAGATCAAAGTCTTTCCCTCTCCAATTTAGATCAGAGAAGAAACAATGTGAGATAAGCCAGTGATTTGCTTGGGGTGACAAAACTGCAGGAAATACTATTTTCTGTCCTCCTGATTCCTGCTCTACCTTTTTTTGTACTCATTTTCTCAAGAGCAGACAGCTGTTTTGTTCATGGGTTCACACATTACGGACTTATTCCTAAGTCCTAAGGAAGTATTTCTTTTCTGTTGGGGTATATACTATAGAACACTAGTGGGGTGATTAGCCAGTAACACATGACTATCTAAGCTTAAAAACACTTGTATTTGGGGACAATTGCTGTGCAATACAGGATTATTCCTTTATTCCAGGTGGATGAAAGAGAAGCCTGTTGTTTATTACCCAAGATAGTTACCCCATAGTCACTGCAGTGTCAGAAGTCATTTGTTTTTATTACAGTGGGAAGAGAAGCTAACTTGTTTTCTAATTGTCTTGTCTGATTCAGTTTCTAGAGTCTGTAGCCAGCATGTTTGCAGCCGCTCAGCATTTCTCACAAAACATTAGCCCAGGTGAGCTGCATTGCTTTCTCTGTGTCTGTCACCATCATTTTAAGTACATGCTGCACAGGAAAAGACTGATGGAGGACCATTAGGCATTGATGAAATATTTTACTCATTTATTCAGAAATTTCTACTAAACCCATCTCTGTGAGGCTTGTAATCAGTGAGTGAACCAGATATTAATATATTCTTACATGACAGACTGACTTCAGAATTGTGAAAGAAAGGAACACGTTGTGGAATTCAGTATAAAGACAATTCTGGAATGTTTTAATAACAAATCAGATAATCTAACCACAGTTTATTTGAGGTCTGAAACATAACCATGTCCCTTCCAAAAATCTCAGTCCTGAGACTGTCATGCACGCATCCTCTGTGAAACAAGTCATTCACACCTAAGTCGGATCCACCTTCAAGCACTGTAGTCTTTAGCTAGAAACCCAGAGTTTTTAAACACCTTATTCACTGTTTTGGTTCCTTCCTAAGTTGCTTAAATGAGTCAATGTCAAGAAAAATAAATTAAGTACAAGGAATTGACAAAAACTAGGTAATAAGACAACTAAAATTTGGACTCTTCAGTTCTGACTTGAGCACTTCCTTGTATTGACTCACTCAACACTTGTCCACATGGTTCCTAGTCATAAACATATGTCTTAATGTATACTGGTCTACAAGTGGGCTCATCTACATTTGACATTCCCTGAAGCACTACTGGGAAATTCTGCCATATTCACAGAAGCTTCATATGTCTCGTCTTCCCTAAGTAATAGATTTCATCAAAGCTCTCCTTTGTTCATACCCAGAATTCATCACTTTCACAATTGTTTAGTCTTAATAATACAGAGAAAGCCTACACTAATTCGTAATACTGTAGGTGGTTTTGAGTTATTTCAAATAGATTTTCATTTTCTTTTTTTTTTCTCCTATAGAAATTGCACAGCTTCTTTTGATAGTCTCTGATGGACGAGGCCTTTTTCTGGAAGGGAAAGAAAGAGTTCTGGCAGCAGTTCAGGCTGCCCAGAATGCTAATATCTTTGTCATTTTTGTTGTTTTGGACAGTCCCAGTTCACGGGTGAGTGATTGCTAGAAGCCACATTTTCTGGAGATAAAGTGATTCCCCTTCAACTTGTTCTGAAATACAGCTTGGGGCTGCTTTATCATATTGAGAATTCCTAGTGTTCTTGGTGTTCTATCAGGCACTATTTATGTGATATTCACAAACTCAGTGAGACAGAGAATGTTTTTCCCACTTAACAGTGAAGCACAGCAACACAAATATTATAAGTAATGAGTAGGAGAGCCAAGACTCACCCAGACTTCAGAACCTTCTGGGTCATAGTTTCTTCTGTACAGCAGGTATCACAGCCTTGATAATGGGCTCTCACTACTGTTTGTTAAAGGCCAGCCTTTCTAATCTGTCTCCCGAGTCCGCAGAGCAAAGCAATTGTATTTCGGAGGTATTGTCCCTGTAGGCCACAGTAACACCATGTTTAAGTCTTTATTCTCCTGGAACAGTTGATCAGAGATCTGCCTCTTTTTTTTTTTTTTTTTTTTTTCCAGGG